TACATGGCAATGAGAAACAATGAAATCTGGCCATGTGTAGCAACATGGATGGAACTTGAGGGTGTTATGCTGAGCGAAATAAGCCAGGCAGAGAAAGACAGCTACCATATGTTTGCATGTATAGGAGGATTAGGAGGAACTTAACGGAGGACCATGGGGGAGAAGTAGGTGAAGAATAGTTGGGGAGAGGGAGGGAGGCAAACCATGAGAGACTCTTGAATGCTGAGAACAAACTGAGGGCAGATGGGGGGGGAGAGGAAAGAAAAGGGGGGTGATGGGTATAGAGGAGGGCACTTGTGGGGATGAGCACTGGGTGCTATATGGAAACCAACTTGACAATAAACTTTTAAAAATTAAATTAAATTAATATAATTAAAATTTCCCAAGGAAAAAAAAAGAATAGAGATCCCAGAAATGGACCCAATAAAGTAGCGTCAGCTAATCTTTGACAAAGCAGGAAAGAATAGCCAGTGGAATAAATACAATCTCTCTAAGGGTGCCTTTGTGGCTCAGTCAGTTAAGCATCCAATTTTGACTCAAGTCATGATCTTACTGTTCATGAGTTCGAGCCCCGCGTCAGGCTCTGTGCTGACAGCCCCAAGCCTGAAGCCTGCTTCAGATTCTGTGTCTCCCTCTCTCTCTCTCTGTTCCTCCCCGACTCATACTGTCTCTTTCTTTCAAAAATAAATAAAAACATAATTTTTTTTTTTACAAAAAGTCTGTTTAACAAATGATGCTGGGAAAACTGGAAAGCAACATGGAAAAAAAAATTATCCTGGACCACTTTCATACACCATACACAAAAATAAACTCAAAATGGATGAAAGACCTAAACATAACATAGGAAACCATCAAAATCCTAGAGGAGAAAACATCAAAAGCCTCTTTGACCATGGCCACAGAAACTTCTTGCTCTACAAGTCTCTCGAAGCAAAAGAAACAAAAGCAAAAATGAACTATGGGGACCTATGAAAATAAAAACTTCTACACGGTGAAGGAAATAATCAACAAAACTAAAAGACAACAGATGGAATGGAAGAAGGTATCTGCAAATGACATATCAGATAAAGGGTTAGTATCCAAAATCTATAAATAACTTCTCAAACTCAACACCCAAGACACAAATAATCCAGTGAAGAAATGGACCAAAGACATAAATAGACACTTCTCCAAAGAAGACATCCAGATAGATAACAGACACATGAAAAAATGCTCATGGTCACTCATCATCAGGGAAATACAAATTAAAGCCATAATGAGATACCACGTCCCACCTGTCAGAATGGCTAAAATTAACAACTCAGACAACAACAGATATTGGCAAGGATGTGGAGAAAGGATTTGTTTTGCACTGCTGGTGGGAATGCAAACTGGTCCAGTCACTCTGGAAAACAGTATGGAGTTTCCTCAAAAGATTAAAAATAGAACTACCCTACAACCCAACAATTGCACTACTAGGTATTTACCCAAGGGATACAGATGTGCTGTTTCAAAGGAGCACATGCACCTCATTGTTTATGGCAGCACTATCGACAATGTCCGTTGACAGATGATTGGATAAAGAAGATGTGAAATATATGTGTGTGTGTGTGTGTGTGTGATACATGTGATATATGTATATACACACATATATATATGTATGTAGAAATTATAGAATTACATAGAAAAATATAATTTTAGTTATATGTGGAATCTGAACAAACAAACAACAAAACAGACTATAATACAGAGAACAAACTGGTAGTTCCAAGATCTATATCTATATCTATATCTATACAATGGAGTATTACTCGGCAATCAGAAAGAATGAAATCTTGCCATTTGCAACTATGTGGATGGAACTAGAGGATATTATGCTAAGTGAAATTGGCCAGTCAGAGAAGGACAAATAGCATATGACTTCACTCATATGAAGAATTTAAGATAAAAAATAGATGAATGGGAGGCAAAAGCAATATAAAAACAGGGAGGGATAAAAAATATAAGAGACTCTTAAATACAGAGAACAAACTGAGGGTTGCTGGAGGCGTTGTGGGTATGGGATTGGCTAAATGGGTAAGGGGCATTAGGGAGGACACTTGTTGGGATGAGCACTGGGTGTTATATATAGGGGATAAATAAGTGGAATCTACTTTTGAAATCATTATAGCACTATATGCTAACTAACTTGGATTTAAATTTAAAAATAAAAAAAGAAATGTTGAAAAAAGCATTAAAATCTGTGTTGGTGAGTATGTGGGAAAGGGGGAACTATCATGCACTGTTGTGAGAAATGTAAATTTGTACAATCACTGTGGAAAATTGTACGGAATTTCCTCAAAAGATAAAAAATAGAAATACCATATGATCTAGTAATTCCACTACTGTGTATTCAACAAAGAAAACAAAAACATTAAATAAAAAAATGTGCCCCTCTATGTTTATTGTAGCATTATTTACAGTAGTCAATATGTAGAAGCAATGCAAGTGTGCCCTGAGAGATGAATAGATAGAGAAGATGTAGTATATAAATATATACAATGGAATATTATTCAGGCATAAAAATTGAGAACTTGCCATTTGTAACAACATGGATGTCTTAAAAGGTATTATAGTAAGTGTAAGAAATCAGAAAGAGAAAGAAAAATATAATTTTACTTATATGTGGAATCTGAACAAACAAACAGCAACAAAACAGACAGCAATACAGAGAACAAACTGGTAGTTCCAAGAGATGAGGAGGGTTGGGGGGAAAGGTAAAATAAATAAAGGAAATTAGGGGGTACAAACTTCCAGTTACAAAGTAAGTCACAGAGATGAATAGTACAACATAGGGGCTATAGTCAATAATATTTTAACAATGCAATATGATAACAGATGATGACTTCACTTATTGTGGTGAGCTTTGAGTATGTATAGAATTGTTTGATTTTTTGTGTGTTTCAAGTTTTTATTTAAATTCTAATTAGTAAACATATAGTGTAATATTGGTTTCAGGAGTAAAATTTAGTGATTCATCACTTGCTTACAACACCTAGTGCTCATCACAAGTGCTTTCCTTAATACCCATCACATATTTAGCTCATCCCTGCCGCAATCCCCTCCAGCAACCCTCAGTTTGTTCCCTCTAGATAAGACTCTTATGATTTGCATCCTACTCTTTTTTCGCCTTTTCCTAATTCATCTGTTTTGTTTCTTAAATTCCACATGAGTGAAATCATGACATATTTGATATGTTGATTTGATATTTGGGTTGCAAATCAACATGTTGTACACCTAAAACTAATATAATGTTTTACATTAATTATTCTTCAAAATGGTGTGTTTGCGTGTTTGGGGGGATAGACTTCACGTTGATGGAGTTTGCTATTTATAAGGACTCATCGGAGTGTGCTGGACTGATGGCAGGTCCCAATTATTTTTCTTTTTGAACATAACAGCTTTATTGAGCTGTAGTTCACATAGGTCGTATTTCTTGAACTACTTGTCAGTAAAATAGATGCTTGCTTTAGAAGACATTAGTGAAAATATTTTTAAATAGAGGAGCTTTGAGTGTGCTCATCTAGAACAGTTACAAGATAACAAATGAAGAACCCAGGATGCAGGACATTGTGTAGAGAATGCTTATATTTTTGTAAAAATGAGAAAATAGAGTGTGCATTTTTGCTCATGTGTTCATAAAACGAATATGTAAGGATAACACTGTCCCCTCTGGCACAGAAATTTGACAAATGACCCTTGTGTGTGGACAGCATTATTATTGTATACATCTTACAACTCTGGAATTATATAATATATATTGGATTTCTACTAAAACATTAATGAAAAAAGATAAAACTTAAACCCAGAATATGGCTGCCAAAGACACAGGACAAGTCCCTATTCAGTTTCCATCCCAAATAGGGATACTGCCTTTTAATTCCTACACTAAAAACCCAGAGTTAGTAAAGACTCTCCAGGGGTCAGGCTCAGTCCTTGAGAAGACTACCCTCACTTCAGCTGTTATCTGTGCTTCGAGAGATTTCCTAGGTCATGTGGACCTCCAAACAATGTCTGTAAATTTGAGGGTTCCTATAACCAGCCAGTCTTTATAATTGATAAGAATGATTCACAGAAGTCAGGAAAGTTTTGTATCTACAAGTAAAATTTTATTTAAAAGGATGCATATAGGTTGAGGTGTGTAAGGGAATACAATTTCCCTGCCTCCCCCCCCATTGAATCAGAGCACATCACCCTCGCAGAACATCAATACGTACATCAACCAAGAAGTCCACTGAGTCTTGGTGTCCAGAGGTTAGATGGGGGCTTTCATGACAAAGAAATGATTGACCAAATCACTGCCCACTTGATTGAACTCAATTTCCACCTCCCTTCTCCTCAGAAGACGAGTTAGCCTCCCTCTATTCAACGCTCTTGATCTTTCTGGCAACCAGCCCCTGACCTGAAGCTATCTAGGAATCTGTCAGCAATCATTTAATTAGCATAACAAAGTCATCTCCTATCAGTCTGGAAATTCCCAGGGCTTCTGAAGCTCTGTGCCAGGAACCAGGGACAAAGACTAGGCATGCACTTTTAGACTTCACCCTCCATAGAGTTTGGGCTGTCCAGGGTTAATGGGGTGCGGGTGGGGGGCTGAGTGTCATTTTCCCAGGACTCAGGCCTGTGTTCTCTGATTATGGATTCAGACTCTGCTTGGACTGGTGCCTAGGGCCTGGTTAGAGTGTCCTCTCGGGCGTCACTGAGAAGCCTCCTGCATGGGGTTCTGTGCTCTCCTCTCCTCATGATGCCCAAAACAGAAAGCTGTAACGTGCCTTTCAGTTTCACGTCCTGGCAATGGCTGTGTTTCTCGGAAAAGAAGCCCTCAGAACTTTGATTTTACTTTCTGTTCTTGGAAATGCAGGGCTCTTCAATATGACAGCTGCTTCTTTTCTATTGGCCAGATTGCTGTGAGGGTGGAGCAGAGAACAGAGACTATTTAAGTCCTGCCAGCTCCTCACACATAGTTTAAATGTTTGCGGTGACAGTGAGCTCTTCACTCTCTGCAGTAACCACACCAGCACACAGGACCTGTTCCAGTGCAAGACCAATCTCTGGACAGGTAAGTTACTGCTGCTGTGGGCAGCAGGGAGCACTTTAAAGAGACTCAGCATTTCCTGTGCTGTCAGTGGACACATTCAGAATTCAAGTCTGACCCAAGGAGTCTCCTTTCTTTCAGGAGCTGGTAAGCAAGAAATCACTTCGGATTGAGTGCTGGTCTACAAATACAATGATAGACTCATAGATCTAAGGGTGGGGGAGCTTGGATGATTGCTCTTGGGTGCTGTGGACTTGAAAGGCTGAGGGACAGGATGGCTGGTGGATGGCATGAGGCATTTAGAGAATTTAGCTATTTGGGATATTTTCAGCGGGCGGTTGGAGAACAAACCTGATTCCTGTGAACTGCAGAGGGATCCTGTGAATGTCAGGGAAACCAGTGCATAAGGGCTTTCCCCAAGAGCTTTTGCCGTCAGACACGGCTCATCTCACGTCTAAATACCTCTCCCTAGGGAGACAATGCACATTACCTATTTGAAAACAAAGCTTTAAACGGTTGGTGGACTTTATTAAACGATTCATGAATTAGGCAGCGTCTTACCTAACAAAGAGAAAGGGACTCGATTGAACTGTATGGAAGGAAATGTTCTTAAAGGAATAGAAAAAGAGAAAAAGAAAGAATTCATTAGCAAAAACTCCACTGTTTTAGTCAAGGTCACTCTGCTAAGGGGAAGGGGAAAGGTCTATCAGCAAATTTCCTAGTACTGATCAGGGAATTCGTATCTTCACTGGTTAAAGGATACACTGCTGGGAGAGTGAAACTGTAGTTACGTTAGGTATTAGGTCTTAGTTTACTGAGTCGAGGCCTTAACTTACATGACTTCCTATGCCCTGTGGACGCCTGGGCCTGTGGTCCTAATTTTTCACAATTCCCCTCTTTTAATCAGACTCTCAGATTTACTTAGAGATGTGATCAAAATAAGAGGCATTGGTACTGTTTTCACCTACTGTTCAGTGGTTCATACAGCTTTTGGTGATCCTTTGCAAGGTATGCACGTCTTGATTAGTGCCTTAAGCAAAGGCATTAATCTCTGTGACGTTCACAGGTGACAACTTCAGGTTCACAATTTTTGAATCATCCATCCTCTTCATTCTTTTCTGATGGTCCAGTCTCAGGGAGGTTATTTTCTTAGTGGTTAGTACCCAGGAACAATTAAAGCTTTGGCAGAATACCATGCACCTATCAGATGATTATGATTTTTATCAGCAGGAAAATTTTCAGTAGTTAGAGTGCACTTTACCATGGCTCCCAAGACCCAACCAATCAAACTCAAGTAAGTCTAAGAAAGATCCTACTGAAGGAGTCATCCTTTTAAGCTATGGGGCTTGATAATGATTTTATGTAGTTGTGCCTCTACTTCCCCAGAAGTGCTAATGTAGATGCACCAGGTGGTGTTGGTCACAGTACAGACAGTTCTTGCTAGGCTAAAAGATAATAAGAGACTATCTGCTTGTCAAGAGATTCTTTGACCAGAGCGTCTAAGGATCTTGTTGAGCATCTATTGTCTTATCCATGGATTCTGCAATATCTTTTGGAGTTTGGGAAAACTTCCTGATTCAATTGTCATGTTAATTTACTCCTAGTTAAAGGAAGCAAATTTTGAGTCATGAATGGCCCCAGGTTGTTGTAAATCCAAGGGAGCTGACCAATGAAGTACCTTATTTTGGTTGAGAGAGTTAGGGACATAATTCGATTCTCTCTTAAGATAAAGTAAAAAGTTGTTTTAAATGCTGGAGGTTACCCTCTTCTTAGCAATGGGCTAAGACATACATACAGCTGAAGGTGTTATTTTTCCAGGGTTACACCAGAGTAAAAAAAGGAAAATAAGGAGAAAGGGTCTCATATTTAGTTAAGCTCTGAAGCCTTGCTCTGTTGTCTTGGGTGAAAACAGTCTACCTCAATATCAGCTCCTTCTCGCCCTCATCAATTTTAATTAGAGGTCTCTATCAACTGTACAGGACTAGATGTCGACCGAAGCCTTCTGTAACTGTGAGATGTGTACCTAAGAGTCTACACCTTCTAGTTTTGTAGCAGTGTCACAGTTGGAGCACTTTCTCATATCCCCATCAATCGTGTTCAAACGCTGCATTTTCCTTATGCCATTTCTAGAATACCCAGTCACCAGACTCTTCACTATGACAGACAGGATCCTTTGAATTGAGAGCTGGGAAGACTTCTTTAACTTGTTGATGATAGGATACTGTGTAAAACATTAGAGATTTTGCTGTAGTTGGCCATACTGCATGGGATAACAAGATATCAGCAGAAACTTGTATACCAAGAGGCATTGGTCTGCCAATGAGTATGTTGTGTAGGGTGAGATTCCATTAGCCAAATAGGAAACAATCAGCGAGTGTGAAGGCAATACCTTAGGCTAGATGAGTCTGGTAGTTTTGTCTAGTTTAAAATTTTTAAGTTTGAGGATCCCATTAGATCTCTCAACCTTGCCTGATCATTAAGGGTGATAGGGACAGTGATAATTCCAAGAGGTTTGTAAGGGTTTTGTTAAGCTGGCATAACTTTTCCAACAGCCCAATTGACTGCCTCAATCACTGGACACTTTGGAAGCTATATCACAAGTGGGAAACATATTTTCTAACACTTTCTTTACCACTATGGAGGCATCAACCTAGAAGCAGTGGGGAGTGACAACCTAATTGAAAGGCCTACATATAATAACAAGAACATATTAGTAACCCATTCTAGGTGGCAGTTGAATAAAAACCACCCACAAGTATTCAAAGTCCACGGGGAATAGTTGTAAGACCTCTGGAGGCAAAACAACTCCTCCAGGAAAATGCACCTGACAAGTCAGACATTTCTGGTAGACCATTTACACAATATTATAGAAGTCTCCCCACTAATGCCTAGTCATAGTTTAAGTTATGTTAAATGAACTATGATGCATGAAGAATGAGAAAAAAGGGGAGGGATTACCAGGGAGCCAGGAAGGTCAAGCAGTTGTCTCGGATTTTGCTAAGCCCTGAGAGTTCAATATACAGACATTGTTTCCCCTTTTTGTTTCTAATACAAAAACAGAATAGGTGTTGCCATGTCCCCCTGGCATCAGAATGGCAAAATCTTGCAATGAAGGGACTTTTTTGCAGCAGAAAAATGGGTGTTATCGATATGTGCCACAATCTTTATAGATTCTTTTGCTGGATGTCATTGCATGAAGGTCTGCTGGAGTATTTTTGATACTCTGGTTCAGTCCTGTTAGTGTGAATTCAATTTTGATGACAGCAATTTTAGAATATAAGACTATTTACAAAGGATAACATTATACCGGAACATATCAAATTTCTTTGAATTCCACGTGTGTTTTGTTTTGTAGGAAGATCATTTAAATGGTAAGGAAACTTTCACAAGCTATTACCAAAACTAAATCAAATGTTGAAAACAAACAAACAAAACATTTGTTCTTTTAACAGGAAACCAAATGCTAATTTTGCACCAGCATACTTTTGTATTAGAATGTATTCATTCCATTGGTAATCAGACAGTGTTCAATATTTCTTTCCAAAGATTCGTTTTTCACAGTCTTTCTACAACTTCTTTTGCCTTACAAATAAAAGTGCATCTCCAATCCACATACACTTTCTTTTAGTAAAAGCACATGTCTTACTTGTTGTCTTTCATTCAGAGAACTTTCCTTCTTTTTAGTAGCTTTATAAGTTAAAAAAAAATTTAATGTTTATTATATATAGAGAGAGTGCAAGAGGGATAGGGACAGAGAGAGGGAGACACAGAATCCGAGACAGGCACCAGGCTCCAAACTGTGGGTACAGAGCTCAACGTGAGTCTCCAACTCAGGAACTGTGAGATAATGACCTGAACCAAAGTTGGATGCTTGACTGACTGAGCCACCCAGGCACCCCTTAGTACTTTTAACCACACACATTAATTAGAGTTCTTAACACATAAAAAATTTAATTTATAGGAAAAGTAAGTAGTAAGCACTAGCTAATTTTGTGTTACTCCAGTATTTTATTCAACTTATAAATACATTTCAGAATTTCTGGAAACGTGCTCCTTTATAGTACAATCTTTCATTAAAGCATGCCAAAAAAATTTACCAATAGACCTACACTTATCTTTACTTTCCTTGTAATAAAGAAGCCAAAATTAGAGAAACCAATGTTTACTAATTAATATTTAAGTATTTTCTCTATCCTGGAAATGATCTAGATATTTAATGAATTTAATTTAAGTCATTACTTTATCTAGCTCAGCATAAAAAAAAAGATTTTGAAAACTATTTAAAAGTTTACTTAAGGGGCACAGTCGGTTAAGCATCCAACTTCACCTCAGGTCATGATCTCACAGTTCATGGGTTCCAGCCCCAAGTCAGGCTTGTGGTGACAGCTCCGATCCTGGAGCCTGTTTCAGATTCTGTGTCTCCCACTCTCTCTGCCACTCTCCCACTAGTGCTCTGTCTTTCTCTCTCAAACATAAATAAACATTTAAAAAATTTTGTTTACCTAAAATTTTCTCTCTATAATAAAATCTTTCTAAAAGAATAAACAAAAGGGGCACCTGATGGTCAGTAGGTTAGTCGTCCAACTTCTGGCTCAGGTCATGATCTCACAGTTCATGAGTTTGAGCCCTGCCTGCATCAGGCTCTGTGTTGACAGCTCAGAGCCTGGAGCCTGCTTCACATTCTGTGTCTCCCTCTTTCTCTATCTATGCCCCTCTCCTTCTTGTGTTCTCTTTTTTCTCTCTCTCTCTCAAAAATAAACATTAAAAGAATAATAAAATAATAAATAAACGAAAAAATAAAATTATCATAAGGTTTTCATCTTTCTCCTGATTGATATGATATGTCACATTGATTGTTTTGTGAATTTTGAACCAACTTTGCATCCTGGGAGTAAATCCCACTTGATCATTCTCTCAGTCTATATTCTTTACAGAGAAAGATAGTTACAGAGAAAGAAGCAGTTTAAAAATTTTTTTAATGTTTTTATTTACTTCTGAGAGAGAGAGAGAGAGACAACATGAACAGGAGAGGAACACAGAGAGAGGGAGACACAGAATCCAAAACAGGCTCTAGTCTCTGAACTAGTTGTCAGCACAGAGCCTGACGTGGGGCTCGAACCCATGAACTGTGAGATCATGACCTGAGCCGAAGTCGGATGCTTAACTGACTGAGCCACCCAGGCGCCCCTAAAAATTTTTTCTGAATCTTTATTTTTGAGAGAGAGAGAGAGTGTAAGTGGGGAAGGAACAGAAAGAGAGAGGGAGACACAGAGCTGTCAGCACAGAGCTGGATGTGGAGCTCAAACTTACAAACCATGAGATTAAGATCTGAGCCAAAGTTGGATGATTAACCCACTAAGACATCCAGGCACCCTGAAAGAGAGAATCTTAAGCAGGTCCCACACCCAGCATAGAACCTGATGCTGTGCTCAATCTGATCCTGAGATCATGACCTGAGCCCAAATCAAACGTTGGATGCTTTCAGGGAAATACAAATCAAAACCACACTTAGATACCACCTCACACCAGCCAGAGTGGTTAAAATGAGCAAATCAGAAGACTGTAGATGCTGGTGAGGATGTGGAGAAACGAGTATCCTCCTACACTGTTGGTGGAAATGTAAACTGGTGCAGCCCTTCTGGAAAACAGTGTGGAGGTTCCTCAGGAAATTCACAATAGAACTCCCCTATGACCCAGCAATAGCACTGTTAGGAATTTACTTAAGGGATACAGGAGTGCTTATGCATAGAAACACATGTACCCCAATGTTCATAGCAGCCCTCTCAACAATAGCCAAAACATGGAAAGAGCCTAAGTGTCCATCAACGGATGAATGGATAAAGGACATGTGGGTTATCTATACAGTGGAATACTACATGGCAATGAGAAAGAATGAAATCTGGCCATGTGTAGCAACATGGATGGAACTTGAGGGTGTTATGCTGAGCGAAATAAGTCATGCAGAGAAGGACAAATACCGTATGTTTGCACGTATAGGATTAGGAGGAACTTAACGGGGGACCGTGGGGGAGAAGAAGGGGGGAAATAGTGGGGGAGAGGGAGGGAGGCAAACCATGAGAGACTCTTGAATACTGAGAACAAACTGAGGACTGATGGGTGTGGGGGGGGAGGGGGGAGATGGGCATGGAGGAGGGCACTTATGGGGATGAGCCTTGACTTATTTTTAATACTGAATATTATCCCAGATCACATGTACTTGAAGAGCATTTAGCTTAATTTCTATCTTTTTGAGAATTTTAGAATGCTCTGTTGTTATAAGTGCTTGCCTTCAAAGCAACTAAATGGAGATCATTTACAACAAAACCTTCAAGAGATAGAAAAATATCACTATACACATACCTACACACACAAATACACACATATGGACACACAGAGAAAATAACTCTATAGTTACCAACAATTTATATGAAAGATTTTCAAGATTATACCTGGAATTAATCCAAAGGAAGTTGTGCCAGAGCTTGGGCACAACATCCACTTTTTGACAGTTTGTTTTATAAATAGCCTCTTTTCCTTTTTCCCTACTTACTTTCCAGTGATTGTGGGTGTGTTTCTATTTCATAGACGTGGTAAGATGTATAATTTTAGGGGACAGAGAAAGAATGCAAGTTCCTCCAAAGGACTTAGATCTCCTAAGACCAATAACTCACAAACACTTTGACATAAACAGGAGGTGTTTTGGGGTTGGCAAAGGAATAGGTGAACTTTGAATTGCACCTAGAGATGACTTTTGTTTGTGGTTTCTGTCAAGGCACTTCAGACAGAGGATGATTTAGAATGAGTACCCAAATAATGGAGGATCATGGAAAACAGTTAAGAATCCTATCAGTCTTACAGTCTTTTGTATTGGGTATTTGTTGTTGTTGTTGTTGTTGTTTACATTTCTTTTTTACCAGATTTTTGCAATGACTGTTTCAATGAAGCTATTTTTGGAATTTTGTTCATCACATTGAAGATTTTCTGCCATTCCTTTCTGGCCTGCCAAGTTTCAGTAGTTAGGTCAGCAACTACTCTGATAGGTCTCCCTTTGATGTTAGGCCCTTTTATCCCTAGCTGCTTTCAAAATTCTCCCTTGATCCTTATATTTTGCCAGTTTCACTATGATAGGCTATGCAGAAGATTGATTCAAATTACATCTGAGGGGAGTTCTCTGTGCCTCTCGGATTTCAATGTCTGTTTCAGCTATAATTTGTTCAAGTATCAAGTATCCCTTCAGTCCCTTTCTCTTCTTCTTCTTCTGGAATTCCTATGACACAGTATTGTTCACATTGACTGCATCGCTCAGTTCTCAAATTATGTTTAGAATTATGAAGCCTTTGCTTTTAAGTGCACTTCTTTAAATGATTTTATTTTCTTGGATGTTCTCAAAATGGCCACTGTAATTCCCCTGAGGGCTGGTAGCAGTTTGGTATACACTAGCAATAAATAGAATTTAACCCACATTTCTGACCAGCTATATCTAGCTTTGGACAGTGTGTAACGCACACATTTTTGTCTAGCCTTATTTTGTGGCTGCCAACCTGACAGTTACCAAGGCATTATTTGGGACACAAAACATGCTGTAGATTTTTATGGCTTCCAGAACCATAGTTCTTTTTTTTTTTTTTTTTTTTTTTAGGTTTTTGTTTAAGTTCCAGTTAGTTAAAATACGTTGTAATATTAGTTTCAGGTGTACAATTTAGTGATTCAATACTTACATACAACACCTGGTGCTTATCACAACAAGTGTACTTCTTAATCCCCATCAACAGTTTCACCCATAACCTTTCCCACCCTCTGGTAACCATCAGTTTCCTATACAGTTAAGAGTCTGTTTCTTGGCTTTTGTTTTTTTTCTTCCCATGATTACTTGTTTTGTTTCTTAAATTTCACATATGAATGAAATCATAAGGTACTAATCATTCACTCACTGACTAATTTTGCTTAGTATAATACTCTCTACCTCCTTCCATTGGATGAAAATGGGAAGATTTCATTATTTTTTATAGCTAAGTAATATGTCATTGTATACATATGTATATATATGCCACATCTATTTTTTTGGTTTAATATTTTTTTATATTTTTATTTATTTCTAGGAGAGAGAGAGAGACAGCGTGAGCAGGGGAGGGTCAGAGAGAGAGGGAGATACAGACTCTGACATAGGCTCCAGACTCTGAGCTGGCAGTCAGCACAGAGCCCGACGAGGGGCTCGAACCCATGAACCGCAAGATCATGACCTAAGCGAAAGTCAGACGCTTAACCGACTAAGCCACCCAGGCGCCCCTGGTTTAATATTTTTAATAGTTTATTATCAAGTTGGTTTCCATATAACACCCAGTGATTTATCTTAATGTTTATTTATTTTTGAAGAAGAGTGACAGAGCATGAGCGGGGAAAGAGCAGAGAGAGAGAGAGAGAGACAGATTCCAAACCTGGTACCAGGCTCGGAGTTGCCAACACAAAGCCCAACGTGGGGCTCTAACCCAGAAACCATGAAATCATGACCTGAGCCAAAGTCAGACGCTCAGCTGACTGAGCCACCAGGTGGCCCTATAAACATCTTCTTTATCCATTCATCAGTTGATGGACATTTGGGCCCTTTCCATAATAAGGAGATTGTTGATAATTCTGCTATTAATAACAGATTGCACGTGTCCCTTCAGATCAGTATTTTTGCATCTTTTTGGTAAATACCTAGTGCAATTGCTAGATCTTAGGTAGTTCTATTTTTAACTCTTTGCAGAAACCTTAAACTGCTTTCCAGAGTAGTTGCACTAGTTTGCATTCCCACCAAGAAGGAAAGACAGAACCATAGATCTTAGATACAAGATAAACAATGTGTCAGAGGGTAGAAAACTTAACTCTTTGGATTTTAAAGATCCCATTTAATTTTTCTTTGTTTGTTCATTCATTTGATTATTTACTATTTTTCCTGAAGGTCATGTACATTTTCCTTTACCTCATGTACATATTAACAGAAACCAGCAGTACTGAGGTAGTGGAACTATGGACATCAGCCATAGCCAAAGAACTACGGACTGGTTGGGACAAGGATTGAACAAGCAGACCTCCAAGAATGGGGACTACAGAGCGACTCCACACACATGGAGAAATGTGGCTGTCACTCACAGTTCCGAACTTAAAATCTGAGCTTAGAACCAACGGCTAGGTTTAGAGAAGTTACTACACTGTCCAGGAGAATGCTTTCTGCACTTCACCATAAATTTCCATCATGGACTAAACCAGCAGATTCCATTAATGGAATTAATGAGGGTGGCTCATAGCAAGTCCCAGGTGGATAGTCAGACATGGTTTTTTACAACACTGGAATCCATGCCACCTGCTGTTTCTGCTCTAGGCAAAATCAAAAGAGTCCTTTCAACACCTCATTTCATGAGTCAGCATATTTTCTAGATAAAAGAAAGCACATTTGCAAATATTGAAGGTTTCTGTCCCTAATGATGATATACAGTATCTTTTCTGAGAAGGAAGGAACCTCCATTCTTTTTTTAACTTCCTTATATGAAAACCAACGTCTATTACATGGTAATGATGGAGGTTATCAGAAGTGTTTTTTCTGGAGGGGTTTAAACACAGGTAGTTATGGCTATGGGGGTGAAAGTTCATGCTGTCTTATTAGATTTGCCCCCATGGAGGTGTATTATTTTCAAAACCTTAAAAATAAAGAGTAATGTGGGCAGGGAAGTTTTGAAAGAATAATCAGTCTTTGAAATTAGTAAGAGCAAATAGAGCTTTCCAAGATAAGTGAAAAAGAACACGAGGAAGGGCAAACTTTTCATCCACGTAGAATTCCACATAATGCCTGGATAGAGAAGGGCTCCTGGATGCAATGTTGTGGCCAGGACTAAGGTTCTGCCTGCCCATAACAGCAAGCCAACCATTGTGCTAATTCTTTTTCTTTCCTCTTCTCTCCTCCCCCTAGTGCCCTCTAGTGCTCAGCCATGGGTCAGTCCACTTCCACAACATCTGATACAGATGGTGGTCGTTTGGCCCTCAGCTTTGACAAATTTTTAAAGAACTTCAAGTTGGAAAGCACAATAGTCTCTCAGGACACCGTCAGGAAGATTCAATCACACCTGGAAGAAGGGGACCTTCAGAGTACAGTTTCTACAATAAATAAAGTACTGAGAGACATTGACAGTGCTCCACTAAATATTGCTGTGACTGGGGAGTCTGGGACAGGGAAGTCCAGCTTCATCAATGCCCTGCGGGGGGTGGGGCAAGAGGAAGAAGGGGCTGCCGAAACGGGGCCAGTGGAGACAACAGTGGTGAGAACCCCCTACAAACACAAGAAATTTCCCAATGTGACATTATGGGACCTGCCTGGAATGGGGACCACTAAGTTTCAGGCACACAGGTATCTGCAGGAAATGAAATTTGGTGACTATGACTTCTTTATTATCGTGTCTGCTACACGCTTCAAAGATACCGAAGTGCATTTGGCAACAGCAATTAGAAAAATGAAGAAGAATTTCTACTTTGTCCGAACTAAAGTGGACAGTGATGTATATAATCAAAGAGTGAGTAAACCCTCCATATTCAATAAGGACGAACTCCTGCAAAAGCTCCGTGATGACTGTGTGACACATCTGAAGAATGCCAATATGCGGAACATTCCGATCTTCTTAGTCTCCAGCTTTGAGTTGGCCAGCTATGATTTCCAAAGACTAGAGACTACCCTTCTGAAGGAGCTCCCAGCCCACAAGCGCCACATCTTCATGCAATACCTGCCGAATGTGACCGAGGCCGCCATTGACCGGAAGAGGGACTCTCTGAAACAGAAGGTCTGGTTGGAGGCCCTGAAGGCTGGCGCATCTGCCACCATCCCTTTGGTGGGCTACCTCAGTGAAAACGATGTGGAGACTTTAAAGGAGACTCTAACTCTCTACAGATCTTACTTTGGACTGGATGATGCATCCTTAGAAACCGTGGCCAAGGACTTGCACGTGTCGGTGGAGAAACTCAAGGCAAACCTTATGTCACCCCACTTGCTCTCAGTTGAAAAGGATGATGAGTCCTTAGGGGACAAACTGTTGAGATGTTTGGAAAAAATCTGCTCTATTAGTGGAGGACTCATTGCCACTGGTCTTTACTTTCGGAAGATATTCTATTTGCAAAATTATTTCCTTGACACCGTGGTGAGGGATGCAAAACTTCTTCTTAAAAAAGAAGAGATTTTTAAGGACTCTGAGGGCTCTGAGCAAACCTACATGCATCAGGAGGTCAGGGATGAAAATGGGAAAAGTGAGGCAAGTAGCTCCTGAATTATTCTTGGTGTTGGCATGGCACTGGTGCCTGGAAAGTTGACATAAGGTTTCCTTGAAGCAATCTTGACCCACTGCCCTCAGAATATCACAGACATTTTCATAATTCACTCTTGAACAAACTACAAACTTAATGACTATAATTTGACACTGAGAGCAATAAGCTCTCAAGAATCCTTTCATATGACCTTTCTTGGGAAAATGAAGGACATAAGTCTGCAATTTTCTGCTTATTAGAGAGAATAACTCTTTGTGTGATGGTTACTTCATATCAGGCACTGGTCTTCTTAATGACATACTAGTAACAAATGGCTGTGCATACAGTAGGTCCTCAAAAATGCTTTTTACACTTTTAATGTTTGTTTATTTTGAGAGAGAGAGACAGAAACAGAGAGACAAAGATAATGAGTGGGGGAGGGACAGAGAGAGAGGGAGACACAGAATCTGAAGCAAGCTCCAGGCCCTGAGCTATCAGTGGAGAGCCTTACCTGGGCTCAAATTCTCAAAAATGGAAGATCATGACCTAATCCAACTCCCAAAGTTGGATGTTTAACCAAGTGAGTCACCCAGGTACCCCTCAAAAATCATTTTTAAAATAAATGCATACAGAGTCCATTTTTATGCTTCTTTTTTTTTTCTTAATTTATTTCTAGGAGAGAGAGAGAGACAGCGTGAGCAGGGGAGGGTCAGAGAGAGAAGGTGTCAGAGACTCCGAAACAGGCTCCAGGCTCTGAGCTGGCAGTCAGCACAGAGCCCGATGCGGGGCTCGAACCCGCGAACCACGAGATCATGTCCTAAGCGAAAGTCGGACGCTCAACCGACTAAGCCACCCAGGCGCCCCTTATGCTTCTGATATTTTGTTATGAACACATACATTTTATCATTAATAGATTATTAACTAATGTTGACTGATACCCTCCCTGTCTTTTCTAACGTCATCGTTTTATTAAAAAAATAAAAGATAATGAAATGAACATGTGTCATGGGAAATAAAAGAGAAATATTTGCTAAGGAAAACTTTATCTGGGATACTCTGGGAGAGGAACAAGTGTCTAAGATGGGAACATGGTCAAAGGGTTTGCATATTGCAGGTTTAGGCACTCCTAGATTGCTAGCAATATATTTTGTGCCTGAACTTGAAAGGTTAGGGAATATGAGATGAAACAATTATGATAAGTCTAAGTGGAAATAATTTTTTTAAAAAGGCCTAAGGTCCTTAAACATATCTAATCTAATAAGGGAAATGAAAATTAGAAATGGCATCTATACTAACACATTATTTATCCCATATTAGATTGGGGGAAATTTCAAAGTTTGACATTCTGTGGGTAAAACTGTAGAAAAATCATTGCTGTCATACAGTGTTGGTGGGTACACGAAGTGATATAACCTATAAGGTGGCAAATTAGGCCATCTCTAGGAAAATTGCACACACATGTGTACTTTGTCCCAGTGATCCCACTTTGAAAAATTGCTGGTTGGCAGGGCTGGAAAGTGGGGCAAATGTATAATGCTGGTTAAAGAATACAAGCTTTCAGATATAAAGTGAATGTAGAATGTGCTGACTATAGTTAATAATACTGTATAATAATATTATACAATAATAATACTGGAAATTTGCTTTAAAAAGCAGGTCCTAAGTGTTCTCACCACACACACACACACACACACACACACACACACACACACATACACACACACGTTAAATATGTGAGGTGATGGATGTATTAATTAACTTGATTATGAAAATCATTTCACCATATGTACATATATTTGAAACCATCACATTAAATATAGGTTATTTTATTTGTTAAATTTCCTGAATAAAGCTGTTGGGGAAGGGGATAAAGAATCTGGAAAAATTACAAGAACATGTATTCTAAAAGCTATTAATTGCAGCAAATTGGAAATGTAAAACACAGAAGCTTTTCATGTTGATGAGTTCCCAATATTTCATTTTTGTTTTTATTTCCCTTGCCTCTGGAGACATGTCAAGTAAGAAATTGCTGTGGCCAACTGAGGGTGTATGGGGGCGTGGAGTAGAGGGAAAATAGTTATGGGCATCGAGGAAGGCACTTGTTGGCATGAGCACTGGGTGTTGTATGTAAGCCAATTTGACAATAAATTATATTAATAAATAAATAAACAAAAATAATGCATCTATTTTGAATTTATTTTTATGTATGGTGTAAAAAAGTGGTTCAGTTTCATTCTTCTGCATGTCGCTGTCCAGTTTATCAGCACTATTTGCTGAAGAGACTGGCTTGTTTCCATTGAATATTCTTTCCTGATTTGTTAAAGATTTTGGCCATATATTTATGTCCACATCTGGGTTCTCAATTCTGTTCCATTGATCTGAGTGTCTGTTTTTGTGCCAGTACCATACTGTCTTGATGATTACAGCTTTGTAACACATCTTGAAGTCCAGGATTGTGATTCCTCAAGTTTTGGTTTTCTTTTTCAGGATTGCTTTGTCTATTTGCGGTCTTTTCTGGTTCCATACAGAATTTAGGATTATTTGTTCTAGCTCTGTGAAGAATATTGATGTTATTTTGATAGGGATTGTAATGAATGTGTAGATCAATTTGGGTAATATAGATTTTAACCATATTTGTTCTTCCAGCCCATGAGCATGGATTCTTTTTCCATTTCTTTATGTCTTCTCCAATTTGTTCCCTGTTTTTTAGTTTTCAGAGTACAGATCTTTTACTTCTTTGGTTAGGTTTATTCCTAGATAGCTTATGGTTTTTGGTGCAGTTGTAAATGGGATCAATTTCTGGATTTCTCTTTGCACTGCTTATTATTGGTATATAGAAATTTCTATACATTGATTTTGTATCTTGTGACATTGCTGAAATCATGTCAGTTCTAGCATTTTTTTGTGGAATTTTTTGAGTTCTGTACATATAGTACCTCATCTGTGAAAAGTAGAAGATTGATTTCTTCCTTTCCAATTTGAACGTCTGTTATTTCTTTTTTGTTGTCTAATTGGGGAGGCTAGGACTTTGCCTTCTATGTTGAACACCAATGATGATAGAGGACAGCTCTGTCATGTTCCTGACCTTAGGAGGAAATCTCTCAGTTTTTCCCCATTGAGGATGATATTAGCTGTGGGTCTCTCATATATCACCTTAATGGTGTGGAGGTATGCTCCTTTTACCCCTACATTCATGAAGGTTTTTATAAAGGAAGTTGTATTTTGTCCAGTGCTTTATCTGCCTCTATTGAGACGGTCTTATGTTTATTAGCCTTTCTTTTATTAATGTGGTGTATCCCTTAGATTGAT